GGTCACAAACATCATTCTATATTTCTTTTATGAACAAACAAAAGAGCAAACCAAATAGATACAGAAATATCTACATCTGAGAAAGAGAGATCACCAACTGATTCGCAAAGACATCAGTTTTTACATGATGGGAACGTAAAATATAACATATTTTCATTTGGGAAATAAAATCTCAAAACATCTTTTATCATGTTGAATTAAATTTTAGGATTCGTTAATATTATTCAAAATGAGAGAATATGCAATGTGTTTGCTTCATCTTGAAAGAAAATAGTAAACAGTTAATAATATTCAGTTCTGAACTTTTTATTATTATTTGTGTAAATTGATTTACTATCATTCTTTTCTTTGAGAACACTATTTTTCTCATGTAAACAGAAACATCAATTCGGGATCGACCGGTCAGAAGCCAAACTGGCCAAAAGGCAAGGTTACGCAGAGGAATATCATTATACTCCAAAGATAATTTTTTTCCAAAAAAAATTGGTTTCATAAAGAAAATTTTTTTAGTGCTTTCAATATATATTTTTTTAATTATTTAATGTTAATAGATTGTAAAGTTTTAAAAAAATATTGACACACTATTGCTTAAATTTTTTTAAAAACTGTTTATTATAAAAATTAATACACGATTAATTAGTTTTTTTTTTAATATATGTGAAAATTTCAAAAAATTATTTTTGTGGAACGGAAAGAGTAGTAGAAAGATTTAATTTACAAAGACCCATGTGTTTTAAAAGACTTTGGTGTTAAGAGGACTTAGAGCATGTACATTGGGATGCTCTCAAGTGTGTTTTTAAAATATAAAATTATTAAAATTTGAGTAAAAGGAAGAAAGAGAGTGTTCTTGTGGGGTGTATTGAATATAAAATTAATAAAATTTGAGTAAAGAGAGAAGATAGTGGYTGTGTTTAAATATAAAATTAATAAAAYTTGAYTAAAAYGAAAAYAGAGTGTTCTTAAAGTAGTARTTTTAGATAGTGTTCTCAAAATGAAGTGAGAGTGTTTAAATATAAAATTAATAAAAGTTGAGTAAAAAGATGAAAGAGAAGGTATAAAGTTGAGTAAAAGGAAGAGAGAATGTGTGTTTTAATAATTTAATATTTGAAGAATACACTTGAGAGCACCCCAATGGACATGCTCTTATTACAAACTTAGCTGGCAAGGAGTTTCTTATTTTAATTTAATTAACTAATCACTTTGTTTAAATTATCAATTAAGCAG